ATCTATAAGAATAAGCAAGATCTCTGTATAAAATCGATCATGAATAAGATGGATGTAAAAACAGAAACCCTTTACGAACATCAATATATTAGGACTGTTTTTTCCAACAAACTTGGCAATCAAGCATTCTGATCACAAAACGTCGAACTGTTCCACTTCCACCCTTATATCTCTTGCTCATTCCAACATCACAGTTCATAGATAAATCAGTTTCAGGATGAGAGGACGACATAATAATCTTGCAACGTTCCATCCCAATCACCTTTTCTTAGGAATCTTCCATCCCAATCACCCTTCGTTAGCTATATCTCTTGCCCATACAAATATCATAGATGAATCGGAGCACAAGGCCACAAAGGTTAGTCCGATGCATTTGTTAGCCACTAGTTGGTTCAATCAGTATACACTTGACACTTCTGTCAACAGATGATATCGAAGTAAAAAAAAATCAGTAACAAGTTCAGGAAAAGCGAGTATGGCTACTACAATATTCTTCGGCTCATAAATGAGTTCTGCTACTGCAAATTCTTCACATTTCACATTTCAAATTCCTCAAAAACATAACCTATTGAGTTAAATGCATCAGCGGCCCTCGAACTTATAAGCATGTGTCAAATAGGTCCATGAACTTTGAAAATATATTTCTGGGTCCTTAAACTTATTAAGTGATGCACCGCATACCCTTACCAGACATGTAGACATTTTTTTTCTAATGTGGCGTGCTTGTGTGGTATATATTTTTTATTTAAGCCCTCGCATTTATTTTCCTCCTAAAAAATAGACCCTTACTCCTCTTCCTGTCATATCCCTTGCTAGCGGCATGTGGATGCACTCCCAGTGGAACCCGTCGGGGGCAGCGCAGGAGCCGCTCCATCTGCCGCGCACGCCGCCGCGCTGGCGCTTTGGCTGCTCCTCCTCTTCTACCTCATCGGGGACATCGTGGGCGTCATGCTCCTGTCGCCAGGTCATCTGGCCCTCGGCCAAGGCGCTGTCCGAGTGTCTGTGGCCCTGAGCGAGTTCGAGAACCAGGGAGACTTGGTGACGGCGCACGCGCGTCTGGGTTCGGTGGTGCCGCGGTGTTCCTGGCCACGGGGCCAGCGCAGGTGGAGCAGGCGCTGGAAGTCTGGAACCCAAGCCGGTGGTACCGTTGAACGCGGCGTGGAGCTTCGACGAGGAGGAAGAATAGGAGACATTTGGCGCCGGCGCAAGGGGCTTCGTGGGGTCCTTCAACGTGTTGTACTCCTTCACGGGGCTGGAGGTGCGGGGCCTGCTGAGCAAGAAGAGAGGCGTGCTGCTCTGGTGCGTCGAGGCTGGGAGGTTCGGCGGCGAGAGCTGGGTGCTCATGGTCGAGAATGACGACGGCGCAACGAAAGATGTGTTCTAGATTCTGCTGGTGATACGTTCTGAATTCCTTTGTGCCATGCAACGAAAGATGCATGTACCTGAAAACGGTATAGATAATTTTGGTTGGTAATTCAGGCACTGTTCGCCTAAACGGCCGTTTAGCCCGTTTACACACCGTTTAAACGCTATACGGTGGTACACCGTTTCCGTTTAATCGGTTGTTTTGACCGTTTAAACGACCGTTTTCCCCGTTTAAACACCCGTTTTGCCCGAATAATGGGTTAAATGGTAGGTGACCGACTGTTTACTGTTTAGCGTTTAGGATAACACTTATTCAGGGCACATTTGCTCAAGAACATTAAGAGAAGGACACTGTATGGGCACGTCCTCCCGGCCAGCAGCATGCATCTAGTCGCCGCTGTACGTATGGGCACGGGCGCGTACGGCGTCCGTCCTTCCGTCCGTCCTCCACCATGAGCGCGCGGCTGAGCCACACGCACGCATCGTCGACGCGGGTCCGAACCTCGCCGCCCCTCTCCTCGAAGGCGGCACCACAATGACGACGAGGCACCTCCGCCAGTACTCCCGATCTCATTGAATCACACCGCCGAGGCCACCGTACTGCCACGGAAGAGGAGCCTCGCCCGCCGCGCCCTCGATGCGCTCCAGCGGCACATGTACCTGGCACAACCATGACCCCGGAGAGCACATCGGGCGCGCTGTTTCCCGGCGGCAAGAGCATGATGCCCGCGATGTCCCCGAGGAGGTAGAAGAGGAGGAGCAGCCAGAGCGCCAGCGCGGCAGATGGAGCGGCTCCTGCGCTGCCCCGACGGGTTCCACGCGGACTGCATCCACATGCCGCTACCATGGGGATGAGAGGAGTAAGGGTCTATTTTTTAGAGAAAAATAAACGTGAGGGCTTAAATAAAAAAAAATATATGCTATATAGGCACGCTACATTAGAAAAAAAAATGTCTACATGGCTGACATGGACTCGTGGTACACCACTTAATAAGTTTAAGGAATTTAGAAATACATTTTCAAAGTTCATTGACCTACGTGACACATGCTTACAAGTCTAAGGAGGCTGCTGCATTTAAGTCTAACCTATTCAAGTTCATGAAATTCGGTAGCCGAGCAAAAAAACATTGAAAAATAGGGCTCGCTCTCTTCTGCCAGTTGCAGCAGCCAGCAATAACTTTGTAATATCTAACTGTACTTCGTTTTTTACCTTTTTCTAGGGTAGTGGCAGGTGCTCTGCCTTTTCTTTATAGCTATTAAGAATTGAAACATGTCCAGTAATTAGATAGGTGCATGGACCCAACCACGTGAAAGGAAAAAAAAGAGAAACTATAAAACCAACGCTCAAACAGTAAGGAAAAGAAAAGATCAAGGGTGGCTAAGTTTCCAACATCCCCATCGCCTGCCTGAGCGCAGCCACCTCCTGCCCTATTAGACCAATTTAACCTGTTCGCTTGGTTGGTTTCCAGGACTTATCAATCATATGATATAATAGTTTTTCTCTCACAACAAATTAGCACCAACCAGGGCTTATCAGGCCAGAAACCAACCAGCGAACAGGCTGATTAGTTGTTTTTTCGTGAGCGCCTTGTTGTCATATTTTCTTCCAAATGTTCCATGTCGTACAGGTGACGATCTGATTTCTATATTCAGGGTTCCTTGATAATGTTCCGCCCAATAGACGGACCACGATATTTTTAGATAGAGCTGGCTGATTAGCACACAGTGGATCCGGAGGTTCAGATAGGCGCATCAGATGGTCAAAGCCTTGAGCGAGGAAGACAGAGATGCGTGTTGGGGAGTTGTCTCACGTAGAAAATGCGAGACATCGGCGGGTGATAATGGTCAATGGAATTGTTTAGGCGGGGTCGCAGATTATGAACGGCCGTCGACGTCACGGGCAGGCGCGTCGGCCGGTTCAGGGCGCAGCCGCGAACTCAACGCACGCCCAGTCGCCCACCACGTCAGAAGGCCGGGGGCCGTTTGGTTGCACGCCATCTTGGCCGTTGACCCGGGAAACAAGATGCATTTGGATTGCTGCCGCGATTTGGCCTGCCCGAGATAGCCACTGCAGATTCGTAGTACAGTAGTTCATTTTGCTCCGGCCGGCCGGCCAAATCGGGGCGACTGAAATGGCCGCCAAATTTTGGCCACCGCCCAGGTTTAGCAGGGCCAGCGGCCAGACACCGGTTGAAACCAAACATGCCCAAACGCGAACCTTTTCGCTTTGTTGAGGCGACCGCCGGCGGATACGGGCATGCGAAGGCCCGTTTTAGCCCAAATTGAGAAGCAGAGGAGCGAATGAGTGTGATAAAGATTATCATGGCTCAGGCCACTTGCAACACGAAAGAGACCAGTGTTTTGGTGAGCGCTCTGGCAACGGTTAATATCAATGTGAGAAGTTGCGCTAGCCTAATGATGCTCAACACTGTCTTACACACTGCACGTGCATTAGCGGTAGTTTACGGATAAGATGCTTCATGGTCTCATGGATTTGTGCCTATATTTGAGGCCATGTGCCCGTTATGTGGATTTGTTACCCCCGAGTTGACAAACAAGCCATGGCAATCAACTTGCAGTCAGCATTACAGATACGCACAATACTACGATCAGACAAGTACTGATAGTCTGATGATACAACTAGCAGCTTCCGTTATTTTCAAACTTGAGATGACTTACCTGGAGCAATGACTTCTTCCACACGCGTTCGGATGGTCCGGTGTACAGTGATTTTTGGATGGTTTTAGATGAATAAATAGTGTTCTGTGAGAGAGAATAAGCTGAAACAAGCTGTAACAAGCAGGAACGTGACTAGCCGAACGCGCTGAATGACAACAGCGTCAACTTCAAGGTGTGCCTTCGTGAGATCACCAAGACCATCCATGGCTTCGTAGACGATGGGCACGTCGCAATCCCATTGTGGTTCTACACGAGAGAAGCTAGAGACATTGTATTTGTGTGTAGTTGTAGGTCTAGTAGTGCACAAGTGGTGTGTGTGGTGTGCGTGCGTAGCGTGGGTGTGTGTATCTGTGCTTTTTGGAACCAATGAGACAGTACATGACTACAGGCATAATGAAACTAACGGATGCATATGACAGTCTCATTCAGTCACGCGAGTGATAATTTATAGAGGTCCACTTACATAATTATAACTTGTTGATGTCCCTTGGAAACATGTGATGAGAGCATCAATCCTCCCCTTTCAGAAACACCATCCATCTCAACAGAAACATCTCACTTCAAGTTTGCAAGTGCCACGGGATGCACACAACAAATGGTTTAGCCTTAGTTCCCACAAGGACCATGGCTTAAATCTAAAACAGCATAGCAAGAAACCCACAAACCTACCAAAGTACTGCACCTCGACAAAAGATTGACAATAGATAACATCATTCAGAGATCAAACGGCACCATTGTGATGACTTCCCCCCATCTAAACGCTTAACAGAATAGGTTACTAGCAACTAACAGAATGCTACCACAAGGTTCCCATTACAAGTCCACAAAGTTAAGCACAACATAATCATCCAAAAGTAAGTCAGCATTGCGAATGCCAAAAGGCCACCATACTATGGTCAGAGAAACACATGGTGCGTTTGACATCTTTGATTGTAACAATGGTCCAACCAACACCATCAGTTTGAAGGGAAGAGCCATGCAGCACCTGCATTTCCAAGGTAGTCCTTCCACGAGATCATTGGCAGAGGCGAGAACGGCTCGGGGTTTGCCACGCTGCTGGTATCACTCAAGCTGCTAGGCCACTCATTCCAACGGTGAAAGTCCTTGTAGTCATCCAAGAACCACATGCGATTGCCCGGTGAGTCACCCTGAGGCATGCAAACAGCCCTGGAGCATGGCCCTAGAAACAGTGCCTGATTGTCAGCGAGGGTCGTCACCTTGGCCCACTGTGATCGCGCAAAGTCTGCCTCGAATATCGAAAGGTCAGGCTCACACTGTCCAGCAAAAGTGTGTATTTGTTCTTCGCCATGAACATGCATATGGAAAATCCTTCTACGCACCGGCAGCAATGAGCCACACGACTCAACCAGGTAGAGCATCCTCAACAAGGTCCGCTGATCATCAAAGTGACTGACATTGATGACCCGTCCAATCCGAGCAACCCGTGGATCACCAGTATTGTCATCCACGCTGATGTCCAGAGCCAAGAGGTCCTCATGATAGTCAACAACGTAGAGCTTCCCTTGGTAGAAAGCCATGTCAGTAATCCACAAAGACAGGTCCCCTGCAACTGACCGCATGGAGCCTCCTGGCCGGCACACTGCAATTCGATTGGATTCCCTACCTTGGAACAGTGCAGCGATGAGGTTGGGCGAGCACGCCATTAGTTTGATCACGTCGGAGTATTTCACGTCCATTAACAGCTTCACTGATATGTCGGTGTAAACAGAACCATCCTCAGAATCATCACCATCGTCTGCAGAATCATGGCCACCTTCAGAATCCTCACCATCGCCTGCGGAATCATGACCGTCCCTGGAATCCTCACCCTCGTCTTCGTCGGCGATATGAACGCTAGATTGTACAGGAAGGGTCATGGTGGCACCAGAGAAGGGATCCACCAAGAGCAAGTCGCAGACGCGCCGGTACACCAGCCAGTTACCACAAGCTGTGTCAAAGCCGTTGCAGCCAGCAAAGTGGAGTGGCTCACCCCGGGGCATGCTGTAGAAGATGTCCCCGGCCTTGAGAGCGAGCAGCGGCAGTGGAGGGGGCAGCCGGACCTGCCGAGCAGCGGAGCGCCACTGGGGGCACACGGCTGCGAAGCGGATGCGGTCGACGTGGGTGGGAAGCCGCTTGAGAACGAGGCCCGCAAGATCCACAGGGATGTTCGACCATGGATCCCGTGCCCTCGCCATAGGCTCAGCCGGTCCTGGAAACAAAGAAGCAGAGGAGCAGCACGCGTGTCAGTGAGGCTGCGCTATGACATCCACCCCGGAAACAGGGAAGCGCCGTGAAGGGAATGGTGCCCACAGCCCAGCGCGCGCGAGAACGCACGGAGGCAATGCGTCGAACACCTCGCGCGCGCGCCACGGCAAGGGTGACGGGGATGAAGCCGCAAGCCCCGCAACGGGGAAGCTGAGGTGCAGGTGGAGGGGAGACAGAAGAGGGAGCGAGAGGATAGTACCAGAAACCGACGGGAGCGGGGAAGCTGTGGGTTCCCGTGATCCGGCGGCGTGCTCGTGTTGTTCCGGACGCTGCGGCAGTGAAGGGTCGGGGAAGTGAATAGCAGTCGGTAAAGATGGTCATGGCTGAGATATAGTTATTAAGTAGGCCGTGTGGGCTTGTAAACTACTAAATCCAAGGAACCCCAAACCCCACTTGCAACCCGGAACGGAATCCTTTGATTGCCCTTCTAAATCCAGACATTCTTTTCTCCCAAAGCGCAAATTCGGCCTTGGCTAGCCCAGCACTACGCGTGGCCTGCGCATGTCCCGGCAAGAGCGAAGGTGGGCTAACATAGCCCATTTTTACGTTGGTTTTCTTCTTAAAAAATATGATAACTTTTTCATACGAAATTTGTTTAATGTTTTGTTTGCGCCACTGCTTCCTTACCATGATACCTATATATAAAATTAAATTAAATCCATAATGCATATATTTCAGAAATATTTTATATTGTACAAAAAGTTGTTCAAAAGTTACATGACTTACTACTAGAGATTCATTATAAGGTAAAATAGGCGTTTCTGAAAAAATTAACTTAAAACCGGAAGTTATTTTAATAGTGCTTTCAACCCCTTGCAATAACCTAGATGAGCTTAGGTGTTGAGGGAACAAATTTAAACTTGGTTATTTGTATATACTCTGTGAGGATAAAGAGGCCAACTACAGATAACATTTAGAGTCATCGCCGATGATTACAAATAAATCTAACATGTTTGATAATGACAATGGACCTTACCATGGTTAACGAAGTGCTGCCTATAAGAACCGCGAATACAATGGCGAGAAGAGTATTGAAAACAAAAAGGGCTCAGTCTAGCAGACGTGTGTGAACAGTGCTACGTGTCTCCGCTGGTTATCAAAAATCGCGTAAGCGCCGTTGATCGCTGACCACCTACCATGGCAGCCAGCCCTTCCACCTCTCCTCCGCGTCCGCCGGGGGATCGCGGACCAGCGGCACCGGATTGTACACTCGGAGCAGCCGGCCACAGACGCCGCAGACCATGCCCATGCCCGCCACGTCCACGGCGGCCACGACGGAGAAGTTGCAGCCGCAGTAGGCGCACGAGCCGATCACCTGGGTGTCCATGGCGGCCTGCACCGACTGGCACAGCTCGTCCTCCTCCAGGCCCACCGCCACCTTGCGCCGCTGTGCGAACTCGAGGGCTATGCTCCGGTGGTCGAGGGCGCGCCGGCGGCGGTACAAGTCCACCGAGAGCGCGCGCAGCCCGGCCTCGGCGCGCAGGCCTTCCGCCCAGGCGTGCAGGGCCGCGCGGTACGGGACCGCGTCCACCTGCAGGGCACTCGCCGGGTCGTCCGACGGCGGAGCCTTCACGAAGACCTCGTCGGTGGCGTCGATGACGTCCCGAGCGTCGTGCGAATCATCGTCCATCGTGTCTGGCGCCAAGCACATCGATCGCACAGCCGAACCAGCTCGCCGAGGTGGTTTCGATCGATCGATCGACGCAATGTGATGTTTGGCAGGCTCGTCATTGATCGAGTATGATTACTTTTATAGTGCTGATGATGAGTTGCTGGATCGTGCCGAGGCCAGCGTGCTAGTATGAGAGACGGACAAGGATTCGACACCGAGTTGGGGACGGGATCGTCCCCGAGTACTCTTCGGAAATACTACAGTGGCATGGTAAGTCTGCAACGGCCACCACATTTCACAAATCACAGCCGCGACATAAATCAGGACCAGCTCATAAGACAACAAATCTGGCAGCTTGAAAATTTTTACAAACAGATACGAATATACGATGATTGATCAAAGCCGACATTGAGTTCCAAACTAAACGACATGAGGATGATGGATAAAAACAGGTCACTTGACACGCATCTTCATAATAACTTAATAATAATTTAGGTTACGGGAGTTCTACAATTATAGGATCTTCAAATCAGGTGTTCGACCGAGTTCATGGACGCAATGGGCGACACGTGAAGGGAATTCACGGTCTACGGTTAGGAATCCCAGTTCCACCCTGAAAAAAGACCAGAACGGCAATGTAAGGCGCACAAAACCAGGGTGCCCAAGTGCTCCATTGTCTCGTGGCGTGACGACTGACGACCGGATGAAGAAGGCAGTACTGGGAACAGTTGTGTCCCTACAGGGACCAATTCATTGCGTTGGTGGTGGAATGGCTGAAAGTGCCGCTGGAGCTGCCATGGTCGACGTGCGGCAGGTTTGGTGGCGGCGGCCCACTTCCCTGCAGGGCGAGCTCGAGCTCGCCGGAGAAGTGGCCGTGGTGGACAGGGCCTGGATGGACCAGGTGCAGAGCATCGTCGTGATGCTGCGCGTTCCTGGCGCCGTCGGCGGGGTCCCGTGAACCCGTCCAGGTGCTTGACACCGTGTAGCTGCTCGCCATGACGGACGGCGCCACCGGGGTGCCTTCGAAGGCGCTGGCCGTGGCGGACATTGCTGGGGGCCGGTTGTGGCTGCCACTTTGGGAGGTTGTATCCCATGGCTGAGTTGACAGAAGAGAGAGAGCACAGCTGGAGTCGGTGGTAACTCCTGCAACACATCCGCCAGGCGGGAGCTCAAAGGAAGAGGGGAGCATTGAGGCCCCTGCCACCAAGCCACCATGGCAGTTGTATGCATGGTTGCCATAGCCCGCAGCTGCACTGCGGTGTGGGTGAGGTTCTTGGTACCCATGCCACTGGATGGCACCCAGCATCCTGTCACCGCCGGGCTGAACTCCTTGCCACGCATCTCTCACGCTGCTTGGAACCCTTGGGTACGAGAAGTCGAGCAGGAAGCTTCTGAACCTACCAGGCTCTGAAGAAACAATAGATTCGAGAAACAGCGGATTGGCATATGCATTTGGAAATAACTGAGTATGCATGTCTACAACTCTACACAACAAGATGCAGCAGCACTTGATACCTTGAAATGATGCAGCAAGCCGGCCATATCGTGAAGTGAGAGGTCCAGGTGGTGGCTTCCTACGGCGCTCATTGTGACCAATGAGGCGTCGGCGGCAGCTACGTTTCCCTTGGTCGAATTCAGGTAACTGGTGGAACCTGTGATTAGAGTGAATAGGTTTACTCACAGTACAGACTTAACATGTGAGTTTACTGATCAAAGCAGGGTCACAAGACAACCTATAGTAGTAGGTCAACGGCTAGTGCAGTCACTCAAAAAAATTGTTGGGAAAATAGGTACCATCTATAAATCAGACCAGTTATAACGGAATAATGTCATGAATATAACAGAATAAATAAGACCAATTATAATGCATCATCAGCAATGAGATTGCACAAGATAATAATTAGTCTTACATAACAAAAAAACTGACTAAGGAATATCCATGGATCAACAGTAGTGTAGAAAACTATTTTATTTTAGCACATGGCAAGAGGGAATTGTTAACTCGGTAATCAAGACTCATCAGATGAACAAACATACAAAGCAAACCAGATGTCATGTGAAAAACTGCATCGATACAAGCAGCATGTGTGTTTTTCTAATCCTCCTGAACTAACATTTTTATTTCAAACTATATATAGCGACATTAACCAAAGACACAGCTTTCATGATTAGATCCACACATCAGGGCCCCATGAAAAAGATTTAAAAGGTTATACCATGTGGGAAGAGCACCTGCAATCATTCACGGGGAGCGGACACGCGTATAGAGCCTTTGTAAAGTGATGTGTTTATCAATGAAACAAGAGGTTTATCTATCAATGAACGGTCAGAACCTTCTCTTTACCGGTGATGCAAAAGGCTACAGACAATGTGAGTACAGCACTGGCCCCCCTCCCCAAAGAGTTCATCAAGATGCAACAAAGCGACACCATTTAGGGCTATGACTATGATATGCGCGTGTAGCCTTACACTGTACATATGATGCAGATTTAGATTAAATAAAGTTAAGCAAAAGCACTGTCATCAACCTACAAGCATGGACCATACGTGATGAATTTAGAAATAGTTTCAGCATCAGCAGTTCAGCACAGCTACTCAGCTGAGTTCATTCCATTTCCATTATATTTGTTTGTTCCAGCCCTGTTTGTTTCATATCCAACTCCTGTTCCGTTTCATTTAGGCCATTAAATAGTGTCGTACAGGTACTGTACTAGCCAATAGCCATTCACATAGGCTACCTATTTATGTGCTGCTCAGACAAGATACTGTGAATGTTCGCATTCACATCTATATGTCCCTTACTATTCTTGTCAGAAATTTTACACAAACTTGACGCCCACCAAACAATTGTGCACCAACGGTACTCCCAGCATCCTATGTACACTTATTACTAATGGATGACTGGATGTTATGTTACAACGAACGCATGCGCATAGAAGCAGAATTTGTGAACTTGTCAGTGAAGACTGAAGACTGTTAAAGAGAGTTGGATGCTTGGAAATCGTCAGAAACCGTGGTTTTTCAGTTAAAGTGTGAGTGAGATGAGCCAACTGCAGAGTGACGACCCTGTAGTTGCCAAGGTACTGTATCACGAGCGGAATAGTAGACCGAAGCAGCTGGTCCAGTCAGTGCTCACAGGAATGCACGATTTTTGGGTACCCAATTTGGGCTGGTACTGGGAGACGGAAGGAGAATGCCTACTAGCAGTAGTAGCTGGAAATTTTTACCTGCTGCACTGTTGGCAGAAGCGCTGCTCGATGCCGGCGACGACGACGCGCGGCTCCTTGGAGTGCATGTAGCACACCTTGTGGCGGCAGTAGTACTGCTTGACGGCGCTCAGATCCACGCCGCACCCATCCACCTGGCACCTCGGCGGCTGGGTGGCGGAGGCGGCGCTGGCGGACGCCGGCCTGCCGCCCCCCGCCGCGCCACCACCGGCGGACACGCCCTTCCCTTTCCTGCCGCCGCCCGCCGCCGCCGCCGCCGTCGCGCTCCCGCCGGCGGCAGCGGCCGCGTCCTGCTCGAAGTAGATCTTCTTGCCAAACGTGAGCCCGTGGATGTCGTCGCTCCCGCTGCCGCCGGTCGCCATTGCCACCCGCTTCCGTGCTTTCCCTGGCCCGAACGCTAGCTTCTCGTCTGTGGCGGCGTAGCTTCCTAGCTAGCCCGCCCTCCACTGACCCTCCTGTCTGTCCAGTGGGAGTGGGAGGGAAGCGCGAGAGAGAGCTTCAACGAGGGTAGGAGGAGGCAGTGTGGAGGTAGGCGACAACAGTGGTGGCGCCGCCCTTAAAATAACCCTTGTGGCGTGTGTGGTGCAGTGTGCGCGCGTGTGCGCCGGTGTGCCTGTGTGCTGCGCTGCGCTGCCGTCCCTTTCCTCCCTCCCCCTTCACCTCATCACCAGCCACCAGTCACCAGTCACCAGTCACCAGCGCAGCACACGCACTCCCACTCCCACTCCCACTCCCACTCCCCACTCGGCTCCCTCCCTCCCAGACGCAGCAACCTGCTGCTAGCTCGGCCGCCGCGACTGCTACCGCGCCCGCACCACCAAGCTCCTCTTTTCTCGCGCCGCTCCTACTGTTCCACGCGGCCACGCGGCTCCTACTGCTTGCTCGGTTTGGTTTGGTTTCCATGCTGGCTGCGCCGGCCTGCGCGCCGGCCTTATATAGCGCGCGTGTGTTGGGTGGAAAAGTCCGTCCGCCCCGCGCCCCCGTTCGCTTCCCCACACAGTGGCTGCCTCCGGCGATCCCCATCACGCCTGCGCACAGGCACAGGCACAGGCACAGGGGACTGGGGGTGGGAGGGCCCGTTGTCAAGTGCCGTCGATGCTGACGCGGACGGTGGCGCGCAAACAGTAGCCCCCGGCCTCGGCCTGTAGCATGAACAGCACCGGCAGCGGCAGCCAGCACCGTGGCACGCAGCGCTGTGCCGTGCGCGCCACCGTGGCTGACCGGTCGATGTGTGTAGTGTAGCGTAGCTAGCCGCGCCTGCCCCGCTGCCCGTGCTGCGTCCGAGCGCTACTCAGGCCGGGTCAGGGCCAGGGGCCCTCCTCGCCCCGCGCCTGCTATTGCTACGTCCACACCACACCACACCGCAACCCGCACCACCACGGAGGCGTACGTGCGATCAACAAGTCAGGTCTATCAACCGCAACCGGGGCTATGAACAGAGCAGAGGCCAGCGGAGGCAGGCGCGCTCGTGCACGCGTGGCCATTGGCCGGCGCCAGCAGCTGCCACTGCTCACTTTGCACAGCGGCGTGGTGCACTATTGATGGCGGGTGGTGGTGGCGGGTCCGGCCGGGAAGGCCTCCTATTATATTGAGGAGGTGAGGGCGGGGCTACTGTGTCTCAGCCGCGGTATATTTTACCGTGCTATCGTAGGTTGCGGTGGATTAGAGGCTCTCTACTGGGTATTTGCTATAACGTGATGATAGAGTACAGTGTTCTGCCTTTTTATTCTGGCTAGAGGGCTAGTACACTATTCAATGGCATCAAGTACCATGCTCGTGGATCTTATCGTA